CTTTGGAATACACTATCCTAGGAAAAAAGTTACCTTTATTTTGTTCACATTTTCTAACTCCCTATCTTTTAAAATCTTGTTAAAGAAAAGCGTTGATAGGAGAAATTGCTGGTGGTCTAGTTTTTTTTTTTTTTTTTGTGTGTGTAACTTGAGGCATTTCTAAATTATGGAATACTATTTAGTATGTGAAGTTAGAATTTATTTTGTTTATAATACTTATTTACATAAACATGAATATACAGATATTTTATTTATAATATGTAGCAAAGACAAAAATGTAACTTTTAGCTTTATATTTTTTCCTATCATTTACTATAATTCTCACCCCATTTTTGCTCTTTGACCTGCCTTTCTTTGCTATACTTTCCTTCTTCTTCTTACTCCTCCCCACTCCTTTTTCTCTCTCTTTTCTTCTCCCTTCTCCATCCATTAGTCCCATACTTTTGAACTGCTATATAGTGGACAATATCTATAAGCAAGGGGTATACTAGTGAGTTGTCCAGTCTCCTAACAGAGTCTCAATTAGAGATGCACAGCCCAATAACAGAACTGTTGCAGTCACAAGGCCTATGTGCTCAGCACATCAAATATTTAATATTCAATAGATCAGAGTCTAGAATATGGAAAGATTTTTATTGAAATGGCGCCATAATGAGAAGATGGGAGATTTCTAGTTTTCTCAAATCCATTTTAGGAGAGCCCAGAATTCAGGATTCTGTTTCTGTCAAGAGAGGGGAGAGTGGGCGGAGCAAGAGGTGGGATCCAAGGAAGGGGGTGGGGTCTCCAAATTTCTTTGTTCCCAGTTGGTCAGACCAAAGGTACTCAAGTTTCAGGCAGAACTCCTCCAGCTAATTAGCATATCTATAGAAATGCAGGCTGGAATTAAGGTGGAGTCAGGGAGAGAAGCACTTCAAAACCAAAAGCAACATTAATGACATTAAAGAATTCATAATCTGTGTTGAGTAACTGTATAAGGGGTTCATTTCTTAACATCCATCATCAATTTCTCATTCTCATTGGGCCTTTCTCATCAGCATGTAAGAACATTCTAGCTAGCATAACTAGCTGTCTCCTATTCCTCACTGCCCATTCTCTCTTAAAGCCACCCACATTCAGGCTTTTGTTTATACCATTTCACTAAATCTGTGCTTGTCAAAGTCATCATTGACTTCCAGATTGCAAAATCCAGTGATCAATTTTCAGTCCTCTTTAAACTTGACTTACAAGCCTAAGACTCATGTCTTTTTGCTGCACATGGCTTGCCTTCCACAATCCCTTATTTTCCTCCTACTTCACTGATCACTTTCAGTCTCTTTGGTTAGTTCTTCTCCCTGTCCTCTCAATTTTGGTGTCTTCTGTTGTATTTACATTTCTTTTCCTGGTGATGTCACCTGGTCTTATGGCTTTAAATAGCATCAATAATTAATAATTCCCAAATTTATTTTTGCAGCCCAGACTTTTCTTCTAAAGTCCCAACTCAAATAGCCAACTGCCTACTCAACTTATGCTTGGATATCTAATAGGCATCTCAAATCCAACATGTCAAATTAAACCCCTGATCTTCAACCTGATCTTCCCACCTACTCCATTCTGTCTATAGCCTTCCCATCTCCTTTTCTTGAAACTCTATTCTTCTGGTTGTCCAAGCCCAAAACCTTGGGGTGGGCCTTCATTCTTCTCTTCCTCTCGCGTTCCACATCACACCCCATACTGATGACCTGTGTTCTTTAACTAAGATTTGGAAATACCCTCGTTATAGCATAGATTAATTTCCCTCTCAGGTCAGTTTAGTCTGAGGTGAAAGATACCCTATTTATATGCAAGGGGCTGATGTTGACATTTCCACACACACACAAAGGAATCCTGAAAAGAAACACCCCAAAAACACCTAATAAACATAACTAATACATTGCTGCTGTAACCCAAGTAAGCTGGATAAGATACTCATTACTAATTGTGGATCTCACAGTTATAAAATAGCAAGACTCCTTAAAGACAGTGCTATTTTCTTCAGCAGTCTACAAACTCCCACCCCAGAGCATTTTACTCTGTACTCTCTTGTGAGTGTATACAATAAATGCTAATAGAATGAATGAACTTTCAGTTTCCAAAGTAATAATCTGGTGCTACCAACATCCTTTTGAGAACTAAAAGTGGGTCAGAGGAACAGGCCATACCATTTAAGTCTGTTGGCCACTTGGCCACTCTGATCCTGAAAAACCGTAAACTACTTTCAGTGCTATAGATTAAAAAAGAAAGCCTGGAACAACATCCACTTTTCTGAATGATTTCACTGCCTCTGAAATGTGACATTTTGCTGTTGTTTCCTTTTACTGTTTTTAATTACTGGGTCTATGTGCATGAAATGAGGATCTGGGTTGCCTAGGAGTTCATCTGCTCCTATTGCATATTCCTCTCTTAAATAAGCATACTTCCATGTAGTTTTGCTTGCTGCCTCCAACATTTTGACAGGACCTCCCCCTCTTCTCTTTCCTCTGTTCTCCCATCACTCCTAAGAGATATTATTTTTAAAGTACAAAATCAATAGGTTTAGGAAGCTGCCAAAGCATGAGGGGGTCATAATGATGTGGAATAAACTACTAGGGATTGCTGAGAGAAGGGTTGGCAATACGCTATGCCAAACATTGTCTGAGAAGGGGACGATGGTCTGTAGCTCCCATTTAAGTGTTCTGAGTTATTCTTTTGCACAAGCTTTTTGTCTTGGAGGGGTTTCTCAGCTGGGCTCTTTAGCATAGTTTTGAGTCACAGGAGGTAGAGACCAGCATTGACAGTTGCTTTTCAGGCCAAATAATAGTCCATTAAAATCAAGTTTGATCTGAGGCTCTTGATGGAGTCCTCAATCTCCTGGTCGTAGTGCTGCTGTTTAGTTCTTGATGCTGATGATGCCTGTGCTGATGATTTGAGTTAAGAACCAACCGATCATGATCACAATAAATGTAAAAATGACTGTTCATGGCCCCTAACTCAACTGCCAGACAAAGGAATGCTGTTGAATAAAGAAGATGCCTAATGAGAATGTGCATATGATCATGCACAGATGGGAATCACTGCTGAAAAGTCAGCTCAGAGGAGGGAAGGGGCTATTTCTGCAACGCTCTCCATTCCATCACGTGGAAACCATAGATATTTTTTAGTTCTTTATGTGCAGCCACGGGATTTCTCCTCTTATGGATTTTGAGGTTTTATTTAATGGCCATTTAAAAGTGTCCTTCCTGGACCTGAGAAGATGATCTATGACTCCAGCCCTGCTTTTTTTCTCCTCTGGTTATCAGAGGAAATTGATTTGTTTCGTCTTCTTGGCTTGGGACATTTCATTCTCTTGCTTCTATTTAATATATGATCCCTCCTAAAGATTTTCTTATGGTTTTGTTCATCTAGTATTTTTTTTCTGTTTCATTTAATTAATTTGATTTAATCTTGTCTAGTGGGTTGATTGTCACAAACCAGTATAACATTTTGTGTGAATTTTTGCTTTGGCTAAGCATGTTGCAGAATACGCTGTGTGTCAGCCTTAGCTATTTCTTCTTAGCTGTTTCTATATTATACACACTGATCAGACCCTGCTCCAAGGCTAAGCTTATGGCATTAAATTGCCTTCCTAGAGAGTTCTTCTCTGACTGAGGAAGCTTGGTGCTGGCATTAATTGCAAATAAAAGACCATGACCTATTGTTGAATGTGGAATATCTTCTTAGCAGCGTCTGCCTTCACTATTGTGAGCTCTCAGTGGTGATATAAAGACCTTTGTCCTGTGCAGATCCAGTTACAGCCAGTGACAGAAGCCATATGTCCACCCTGAACAAAAGAGCACTTATTTTCACATTCCGTGACTGACTTTGAGTGATAACATTTTTGCATATTCTAAAAATTTTTATGCAGATGCTTTTTAAAGGCAAAAAGTGCTTTTACAATAATTTTCTTTGTGAATGGAATTTAAACTCTTGGCATGTGTTGCCTTTCCAATATGCCTGTCAAGTTCTGGATAATAACCTTTGACAGTTTGTGAGCAGAAACAAAACCGGAGGTTCTTTACTGGGTTCACAGCAGCATTGTTTGTCATCTTGGTGTTTTTTGACTTATGCCCACCCACCTTAAATAAAAATACGATAAAATTAATATTTTATAAGCAAGTTACTACACTCTGGTTTTAAAGAAATGGTCTGCTGTAATTTGTACCATGCCAAGTTGCAGAACTTTGTCTCTGGCTGACTACACCCATGGTGAATGGACAATAGTTGGCAAGGGGAAATATATCTGCCAATTAATATATTTTCCCATATTACTTTACATTAAAAATTTTATAAAACCTTTACATGCCTTTATAAAAATGGAGCAAAACTATAAACAAGACCTGTCTGAGTACGGAGTGAGAGATAGAAGAGATGTTCTTTGTCTTAAAACTATAATATCACTTGTCTCCATATTGTTAAGGTAAATCATATATTGGAAAATTTAAGCTGTATCCATATAATACCTATAGAAATAATTGAAATAGGAAATATCAGCCCTTTAGAGTTTTTTTGAAAAGTTCTTTAATGTTGGATAGCTGGTTAGAATGAAACATTCTCTATTTTAATGTTAGTTTGGTTGTAATAATCAAATTGTTTGTGCATGTGGATATAGCTTTGCTTACAACTCAGTTTATCATAGAATAAAATAACCTAACAAACCCCAAGTTTACTTATTGCAATACAGAATTTATTGTGGTTGAAGTTATTTTAAATTGAGCTGACAGGCTTATAATTGATATGTTTTGCAAAGCCTTGAAGGCAATGAAGCAGAGAAGTCTTTGCACAACACTGTATAAAATGCTGTAGCTGTGTATCTTTAATAAACAATGCTCATTTGGACAAGTTGACTGAAAAACGTTTTTATTAATTGCATACAAGAACTTGATGATGAAACTTATAGCAGTAAAAACCAGCTACTGACAATTGTACTGCCATTTAAAGAATTGCTATGTTTTCTTTTTCTTCAACAGTGGAAATCCAAGTGGAGGAAAATGAAGATGATACTGAGGAAAGTTCGAGTAAGTGGGGATGGGACTACTTGGCATATGTTTCCTGTGGAAGAGCAGTGAATTCAGGGAATCCATCCTCTTATCTTGTGGGGTTATGCTACCAATGTAAGCACAGGGGCATGTGGATGACTTCTGATGGTCTCACAAAAGAGAGAAGCCCAGCAAGTAGAATCTCCACTCTAGATTCCATTCGATTGGCACACACATATTCCACCCAATTTATAAGTTACTAATAATGATCACGTAGGTGGTAGTCTAGAAAAATAAGCATTTGTATTTCTGTTATTTTCCCTGTTTAAGTCTTTGTCCTAAAATCTTTTCTTTAAGGTTGAATTTATTATTATGGAACAGATTGGCCATTTTGACTGAACTGATCAGGTGGTTTAATTAAAATGAAGAAGCAAGTTCTAATGCAGTGAATTCGTCTCTCTTTTGTCCAAATTGCTCTGTTGTTTTTACTTTGTGTAGGTTCAACTCAAAGAGCCTGGATTGAAACCCCTTTCCAGGCATGCAGATCACTCGTGGGCTGAAGCATGAGAAAAATTAAGTGAGCAAAAGCTTTCAATTTACCAAAACTAAAAGAAAAGGCAGCATCTCAAGAAGAGTTCAGTTAGATGATACAGCAACACTATCAGTTTAATAATCAGAGCACAGTAGGGCCACCAGTGAATGTTCACAATGCCAGTTGTTTTCATTAATTTGATGCATTCTGTATGAAAACAGACGAGAATCTCACACATCCTGAATACCATGATTTGAATATTTTAGCGGGTAGAAAAATATTTTCCCTCTACCGCTCTGAGTTCTTAGCTGAGACCCCTGTAATACAAGACAGTGTAACAAGAGAAAAAACAAACAGAAGTTTATTAACATGTATACCTCATGTATACATGGGAGAGACCCAGGAAAAATAAGTAACTCTCTGAGGTGGCTTTGAATTTAGACTTAAATACCATCTTAATAGGGAAAAGGAAGGAGTGAGTGTTTATAGGCCTCTTAAAAGAGAATAAATGAGTTTTAGGAAAGACGAATGGGCCCTGAGAAGAACAGATGGGAGGTGTGATAGTTTGTGACGAAGTCTGCCTGGATGTGGTGTCTACTTGTAGTCTTCTCTCCTGGGATAAGAGTCAACCTTCCCCTGGGATGAAGCTCCTGGGAAGCAGATTTATGACAATTTCATTCCTGTTGGAAGATCTGTTTTTAGGCAGATAAGGGGAGTTCAGAGAAAGTCTCTTTCTGCGTTTGCTTTTTCTCACGTGTCTACTGCTTAAAGTAATCGGTAAACCAAGTGGCATATTTTAGGGTGGTATATTCTGAACTCCAACAATCACATTTAGAGATGGCATATTTTGCTATGCTTCAATACCAAATCGAGCCCATTCTAAAAGGTAATGTTGTATACAAATCTGTATTTAGTAGGTAACTGCAAAACATTTATTTTTTTAGAATTTGAATGAAACTAGTTAAAGCATTAAACACTGCCTTTTTATTCCTAAGTGGTACAAGATAAATATCATGGTACACTTTTTTTATCCATGGTAAAACTCTTCAAGTTTAAATGTTTACTCTTAATACAAAATATACTAAAATGCAGAGTACTAAGAGGCTGTTTGAGTTCTTGAGTTATTTGTGGGGGAATCATTTCTCAATCCATATCACGCTTTGTCCTTTCTATAATTAGTGACTAATGTGGCAAATAAAGGCTGGTAAATTTTCAGAATGCCAGAACAGGGTTCAAATAACACATGACATTTGCCACAATATTTAACAAATGGAAACTCATTCTTTTTTTTGGTGACAGAATATAGTTTTAAAAACCCAGTTAGAAAAGTTATCCTCCTGTTTTTCTCTGCTAGCAAAACTAGTAATATAGGTAATGATTTGAAATATCAATAAGAAGTTTTTGATAAGTAATGTTAAAAAATAATTTAAAAAAAGATAAAATCATAACAACACATATATGAAAATGAACATATTTAACTAATGAATGAGGAATCTGGTAAGGCATTAAAACAAGCTCAAAGGCAAATCCAAAAGAACAGTTTATAGATCAGGAATATTAAAATGATATGCAAATAGAGATATAACTGTCTTGTGGGTTTTTCTTGGTGGCGGAGGATTATTACTCCACTGGACAAAGTTTATTTGTTTGTCTACAGACAAGAATTATTTTTCATTGCTGTCCAGTTATCTATAATTTACAAAGTTACAAAATAGCTCCCAAGAATCAGAATAAGATAACATGGAAAGGTATACTTCAGACAATTTATAGTTTTCCAGTAAAGTGCAGCTTTTTTCCATATAGTAGCTTCTATAGAAGAGGATAGTGATAAGCATGAGTAATTTCTGATTTTTATAGTAATTGATTCTAAATATCAGAAGAAGTTAAGAATATCAGAATTTCACAAAAATGAAAGCGAAGTAGGATTGCATGTTATATAAATTGTAAAGGAAGTAACAGTATTCACTTTCTACTCTTTACCTAGAAGCTTCCTAAGAAGCTAGGGACATATGAGGCATTATTAGTTGATGAACACAATAAAATATCATTTCTTTTCATTTTACATTACATTTATATTTACAAGTTATCTATTTCTAGTCATAAAGATAGAATGATCAAGCCAATACATTTACTATCAATTTATCAATTTCATTTAATAAAGGAAAAAAAGGAAGAAAGATTTGGAATCAAGAATGAGGATAATTTGAATTAAGAGGAATTTCAAGCGTTAAGTTAATTTCTTCAAAATTATTCTAGTTTGTAGCCTTTCCTAGTCATTCCTGTCCTTTGTTCTAAGATAGAAGTAGTAGTAAATACCTAGTGGTTAATCAGTCAATCCTTGTGTGTTGTATTGGTAACCTCTAAACTTGGTCTTAGAGGTCATGGTGTGCTATTAAACTCCAAGTCACCTAGTTACCCAAGTACATGAAGGCTGAAATTCTAAAGATTATTAAAATTGGGGGATCTACATTCACATATTTGAGTAGATGAGCCACAAAAGAAATGAGAATCTAGGTAAACGTATTTAAATGGCAGGCTATGAAATATATACGGCATGGTATAGCTTACCGTAATGTGGAGAAACTGGATTGTGGTGTCAGATGTGTGACAATGTAATTAAAAAGTAAGAACACATTTGATAGCAGGAAAGAACACTTTCTGATATTGCTCACTGAAACATTAACTGCTGTGTTTAGGTGAAGAGGAAGAGGAGGAGGACGATGGTAAACTGCCTCGAAGAGAAACCATGAGACCACAGAGGAAACGGACCAGAGATGTTATCAGTGAGGATGATCCGCCACCTGAACCAGAGGATGAAGAAACAAAGAAGGCCAGAGAAAAAGAGAGGAAGAAAAAGCTGATGAGAGGAGCGTAAGTTAGTTCTGATCTATAACTGAAATTGTTATTCATTCAAAGGCGCCCTGATACTGAAACAAGATCATTCCCTTCAGGCCCTCTTTGGCTTTACAATTGGTAATTAAAGCTACTTTTACAAAGATAGGCTTAACCCGATGCTGCCATTTTATACTCCCCTTAGTTAAATGTATTTTAATATTAAAATAGAATTTACAAATGAATATGTACTTAAAATGGCCTAAGAGAAATTCCCTTATGAGAGATTTGAATTGTCATAGGTATTAACATATTATAGTTAATTTACATATTTTAAAGTTATCCCATTGATTATATATGTTGTTATCGAAGTGCAAAACTCCTATACAGTGAACCCAAATTATTTTATTTTTCAGAGCAGAGGTTGGCAAACAATGACTAATTCCAGCTCAAGAGCTAAGAATGGTTCTTACAGTTTTAAAGGGTTATTGATAATAATAAAAAGGGACAAATATGGGACAGAGCTGTATGTAACACTCAAAGCCTGAAATATTACTATCATTCCCTTTATAGAAAACAAAAAAAATGTGTATGGGTTCCTGTTGCGGAGGATTGGGGTTGTCATTTCCTTTTTAATATAACCTTTCATTTTTAGGTGCACCATTTTACTGAGTACTGACTTTATGTAGAATAATATATAAATGCTATTTAGGGAAAGTCCAAGAAATAATTTCCTGCTCTTTGCTTTCCAGAAATTTGTAGATGGCAGGCAGTTTGGAAGAACATGAAAGTAAAACAAATCTCATAATAGAAAACCTTAGGCCCCTTGGAAAGGATTTTTTTTTTTTAAGATTTTTATTGGGGAATTGGGGGAAGGGGAACAGACAAGTTGCTGTCGTTGTGTTCTTCAGTCTAGTTGTGGAGGATGTTGCTTCACTGGCCCAAGTTGGCACCATCATTGGGCTCCTCCCGGGCAAGGCAGATCAGTCGCCGGCTTCTGGATGGCTGCTCACAGCAGCTGCTGGCTGCTCACGCTGGCTGCTGGCTACACACGGTAGCCCATGTCAACCCACCTGCCATCACCAGCGACTCACGGCAGCCCAGCTCCAGGTTGAGCTGTTGTTCAGCATCTTAGCTGTAGAGGGCAGTGTCACTGACCCTCATATGTGGGATCCAAACCAGGGCTCTCAGGCATCCCAAGCCAGCTCTTAACCAATGCGCCACTCAGCCGGCCCTGTTAGTACTATTATTATTTACCATATTTCGCCGTGTATAATGTGCTTCCATGTATAATGTGCACCCACGTTTTTGGCCCAAACTTTCAGGGAAAAATATCTTTCATTTAAATTTTTTAATTAAAATTTTTTTTAATTAAAATTTTATTTGTCCACATTTAGGTACTTTTTTAAATATTATAAAGGAATTTTAACATTTATTTTTTAACATATTATGGTACAAGAAATTTTATATAACAAATAATTACAAAACACAAGAACAGATACAAGGTACAAGAAGTTTTATGTACCAGTAACAAATTTACGACATTTACGCATCACAGAAGGCCAAGAACTCTTCATGGTTACAAGTTCATCATAAGTTCAACAAAACTGATGATCATATCACAAGATATTATTTTGCATACAGATATCATTATTGATTTCTAGAGTTACACTTTTAACTCATAAGCATAAATAAAAGAATTAAAAACATTTATATAGATATGGAATTAGTACTACCCATGTATAATAAGAATCCCATTTCTCCCTCACAAATTTGGACAAAAAAGTAAGCATTATACACAACAAAATACGGCAGTAATATCTCCTATTAGCAGTGCTTATGCATCTTCATTGAGACGATATCCTCAATAGACCTATGTAGGATATAAGTTGTGTTCCAGAATGTGCCTTTCCTCTCCACTTATGTCTCAGAGAGGTCCTTTTAAAAAGGTGAGTTTGGTGGGAATTACTCTGCTCTCATGGACTGCTTAAGGCACTCATGTCAGCTGTTCAGCGTCTAGGAACAGGACCATATGAATCAGCTGGGTCTTGGCCCTGTTGCCTGAGAAAATCTTGTCCCTTTGACAGTCTCTGTCCTTAGTTGGTCCCACTCTCATCCTGATTCTGAGAAACCCACAAACACCCCTGCCTCCCTACTGCCTCACTTCATGGGGCTAAACTGGATAACTTTGTCTCCATAGGTTTTGCAAGTTACATTACTGCTGCCACAATTTGTGCAACTATTCTAAATATTATAGTATCATAAATTATTTGTGAGGATTGATAGTTCTGATCTCTATTTTAAGGTCCATTTAGTATTGTTCATTTTGAAGATAAGCATCTTTTTTTTAAAATAAAGAAAATGTATTAGCAAATATTTTGAGAAAGATTAATAAACAAATAAATCAGAACACATTTATTTAGGTTAATTAATTCATGGTCTTTTTTAATTTAACTGTTCAAGTGAAACACCTTAAGGAAATTCCCTTGTGCTGACAAAACATTTGAAACCAACTAAAACTGAGGTTGTCATGCAAACTGCCTTTGAAGACAGTTAAAAAACACTGCCTTGTTAGACATTTTGAAGTATTTCTAATAATATTACAGGCTTTTCCTGACCCAGTTCTAAGTGAGTAAGTAATATGTTCATAGCAGTGAAAAATTCAGCACGTTATGCCTCCTATTTTCTAACAACTATTGTTTAAATAAATCAAACTTAAGGTAGAAAACCATTCTCGCACAGATTAACCCTAAATTTTAGAAGACGAAGCATGTCTGTGCTATTACCTTTTAAAGTGATTAGCACTTTCTTTGAGTGGTTCCTAGAAAAGCAGTTTTCCTGTAATACTGGAGAGTGATATTTTAGTTACCTGCATATTTGAAGGTAATTATCCAACAACAGCTATTCCTTGTAGTGCAACTGTGATCCGCTTGGATCAATCAACAATTACAACAAAGACTTTAAAAATATACCAGTCTGGGATCACTTAGTGAAGGAATAAATGTCTTTCCATACCATACTAATCTTGGAAGACATTGTTATAGTTTAGTGTTCTTTAAGAACTGGGTTCACAGTGATAACCCTATCATCCAGAAAAATTCTGTATGTAAACATTTATTCAATGAAAATTTATTCAGCTCCACCTCTGTGGAAGATAATTTGCTAATGTCTTTGGGATACCTGTACATGAATATGCAATTTTCTGCATTTTTCTAGAAATTCATAATACAGATCAGGGAGTGAACACTTAGACACAAATTATTATGAAACAAGACAGTATAAATGTGCCAGGCAAGAAGTACAAAGTAGTTTGGAGTCTTAGAGAAGAGAAAACTACTCTCATAGGGATAATCAGAAAAGGGGTTATTGAAAACATTTCTTATGATTTTTGAAGGAAGTATAGAAATTGGATAAAATACTGGGTTTAAGATAGCAGGGAAGCATATAATTAGCGTGAGGAAGACTTCTATTAAGTTGTTTCTAAAACTTGGCATGTAAAGAATTAAACTTTGATTACGTGGTAAATCCACATATTGAATAGATTATTCTTTGATGATACTGTATTCAATGAGATACTGTTTTATATATAATTCTGAATGCAAGCTTAGTAATGTGAAGTTTTAAGGTGCCTAAAATGCAAATATTGTGAATTATTTTGGGAAGGGGACACATTAAAGACTTAAAATATCAAGCAGTTGCATTATTAATCTTAAATCTTTTTTTTCTACTTTAATCCATTCTTGATAGTTTCTGGGCATATATTTTGTTTTGTTTTTGATCATTTCTGTAAAACATTTCAGTAAAACAATAATCTATATCGATTAGATTTAGTCTATCTCTACTTAGAAACAATTTTTTGAGTAATTTTTAGTAAAATAATTTTTACTAAAATATACCAAAATATATTTTCCCCTCTGAAGACAATTGTGTTTAGTCATAAACTTCGTGAACAACAAAATACGTTTCTAACTCTGAGTCAGATTACAATTTCTTTCCTGGGGTCCAGTTAGGAGAAAGAAATTTCAACAGTGAATTGAACAAACAGCATTCAACAAAAGGAGCTGTTTAATAAATACTAAATAATTGTTAACTAGATTACTGGAAAAGTGAAAAGAGAACACTAAGGTATCATGGCGATAGCAACTTGAGGAAGCAGGTACCACCCAAGGGCTAGAGAAACAATGGAAAGAGGTTGAAAGTAAAACTTAGAAGCGTGGAGAAGGGACCCACAGAGCTGAAACCACTGCAGAGTGCAGGATGCTCAAGTGATGAAGCTGATTCTGCTAGTGTTGGGAAAATTGGCACACTAGAGTCACCTGCAGCTGTGGAAAGGCCCTGAAGTTCCTGGGGTGAAGAAGCATTACTAAGGAGGAAGCATCACCCCAAGAAGCAAACAGAAAGCCAAAGGAAAGACCTAGTGGCAGCCTAATATTGAGCCAGCTGACAAAGCAAATGTGCCCTAGCATCCCAGACCCAGCATTGCAGTCAATATTAAGTATAGAAAGGTGAGTTTGAAGTTGAGCAACAAAAGTTCAGTAACTGAAACAATCTATTACCAAAAAAATTGATTTCTACAATATGGCATTACATTCCTCAATTTAAATTTATGTTGTTCATGTTTTTATTTTTTTGCTTTGAGTTCTGGATCCTATAGTATTTTTTCAATACTAGGAACACAGAAAAAATATATCTAGTTTTTTTCCATAAGAAACTAAATTCCCTTGAAGACCTCTTCGAAGGATTCACTTCCACCGAACATAATTGAAGTTGAATTTTATCAATTGAAGTTTCAAGTTTAATTAAAAGATTTAGTTACCTTTGAGAAATAGATTTTATTTTTGTCTATTTCAATTTTTCTCTCTTTCTCTTGAGACAGGGCTAACTTAAAAATTTTAAGGACACCTCAAAGACATCTTCACCTCTAATTTACTGTCCTTATTGAAAAATAAAAAAATTTAAGTGAAATGTTGAGTTGGTGAGGGAAAGTGTACAAGGGAACAAAGAAGAGAGAAGAAAATCTTGATAAATCCGTAACTATTCTTTCCATAGATTTATTATTTCCATAGTTCTGAGAGTTTGAGGCTATGGAATAAGAACAGCTTGGTTTCAGGACATTAGAATGTAAACACTGTTGTTTAAAGTTATAATTTCAGAAGTCCACCATCAGTGTTCAGATAGATACAAGCTCCAATGCTTATGGGTCTCAGCATCTATTATGTACAGCCAAACTGAGATACATTGACAGAGTATCTGTTAGCGTTCTTTATGTTTGCAAATCAGGCAAAACATAACTTTATTAAGGTTTTTTTTTTTCTTTTAAAGGGAAGACGATGATATCGATGAAGCAGAATTGGAAAGACTGAAGGCAGAGTTAGATGAGCAAAGACTAATGATTGCTACTGTCAAATGCAAACCATGGAAAATGGAGAAGAAATTTGAAGTTCTCATGTATGATGTCACTTTTCTTAATTAGAAACACTTTCCTTGATACTGATCTCTTAAATCCTTTGTGTATTACTTATATCTAATAGGTATTACTGTATGTAATACTCATAGTATATACAATGTGCATGGTCATATATTCATATATAATATATCATATAAATACATATGTATATATCTCAATTTATTAGAGAGGGTGGGATAATGATTACAAATTTAAAACTATAAGAAAATATATTGTTTGGAGTCTAATAACCCCTGTGGTCACCTTTGATCATTCATTCCTTGAACTGAGAGTTTCCTTAGCTTAACACATTCATTACTATCTCTCTGAAAGAGATAAGATATTTGAGTTTTACAAGTTTGTGTGGGTGGATTGAACACTCTTGTTTCTCTGCAGGGTGCCAGCCTCAAATAATATTTTCATGTGACAATTCTCATGAAAGTGCAGGAAGGATGTTAAGTCAGCAGAACAGTACATGCGATTCCAAGGAAGGGTTATAACTATTCTCTGGTAACATGTCAGTGACCTGATTTTATTCTTATGTTGAATGCTGATGAGGGTGCAAACACACTCAGAGGCACACAGGTTTATGAATTCCCGATGTGAAAAGTCAAATGATTATTCTTTTTTCGGGGATGGAAGCAGATTCACCTCTGTGGATCACATTGTATTTCCTTGTTGTGGTGTTTGGGGGAAGGAGGGTGTGAAAAAAGGGAATGTGTCTGTGATAACCGTCAGGTTTGCATCTTTCAGTTGTGCTACAGGTTGCATTTTTCCACAGAACCATTTTTAAAAGTAGTGGTACATTTCTAAAGCTATCACTCCATAAGCCTATTTAACTAATAATGTTAAATATTGTAATATATAGTATATAGAGCATATATAATATATATATATATATAACATAGTATATATAATATGAAAATTATACTATAGTGACACACACACACACACATAGTGCCAAAAAACTATATACATGTTTTAAGAAAGGAAAAAAAACTATTAAAATTGTAATACTTAATATATACAATAACAAAAGATAAATACAAGTCATGTTTGACTTCTGCAATTACAAGAGGGGCTCAAAGTGGTTACCATCAGCTTAATTTTAATATG